ACAAAAGAAATATATAAAGAAATGACTTTCCCCTTCACCGCAACAGGTATAAACAATGTTCAGGGAAGCTTTTATCAGTCAAGATCTGAAACGGGAGAACTACATTATCAACCTAGAGATTATTGAGTGGGTTAATTCATATATGTATCTATATACTACTAAAACTCCTTTTGTGATTATCTGTGTCCCTATTTGTACTTCAATGGTGTATTGTACTGCAACAAAATTTGAATCAAGGTACTTAAAATGTACTAATTCTAAAAATGTATAAAAAAATCCAAGAATTGAAATTTCTACAATGTTCAGATCAGTTTTATTTGCAAAGTTATGGCCTCCCGGGGGCAATTGCAGCAAAAGAATCTACCATCATCCAGGTAAAAGAGAGTTACTTTGGAAAGAACTTCCAAGAAGTACAAACTTATCCTCTGCCCAATATTTAAGTAAATTTGCAAATAAAGTAACCCAAAGTTATTCAGGGTGTGTGAATGCTGACTGAAAGTGGAAGTAAAGTAGAATGGAATTTTTATTCCACTCAATAGAAAGCCAGCATGTGCTTATAGGGTGCAGATAAAATTCACTGGGACATTATGGAACTAGATTTCTATTTCTCTTCCAGATGAAGGTTGTCTCCGCAAACCCTGGAAAAGTTGTCTGTGAAATGAAAATTGAAGAACAGCACACAAACAGAGGAGGAACTCTGCATGGGGGCCTGACAGCAACTTTAGTAGATATTGTGTCAACAGCTGCATTAATATATACTGAAAGAGGAGCACCTGGCGTCAGTGTGGACATGAACATTACGTAGGTATCAAACTTGGCAAAAGTTATTTCCATGCTTATTTCCTTTTATCTGAGCCTTCATTCTGCACTGACTGTGACAAATCCAACTTGTATTAATTCCAAGACATCATCAGTCCAGTCCAATGCTGTGATACTACTGACTGTGTAAATTTAAATACTTTTTGGAAAACTAGATTTCTATATCCAGATTCTTCAGGGGTTCTAAAAAGTAGTGAAACATTCATTAGTCATGCTTTTGTTTTGAAGTACCCAAATCATTATTTTAGCTTTATTTTTGTAGTAAGCCATTACTATTCATTACTATTACTATGCAAGGAAGTGAAACAAGAACTAACAGACCCATCTGCCCAATCCCCAATCTCGAGGGAGAGGTGTCTGTGGCTTCAGAGGAATGTGGAGAAGAGCAGGCCGAGGCAGGCCAGGGCTCTTCTGGAGTGGAACAGGTTGAACAGGAGAGACAGAGTTCAGGCGATGAGCAAGGGCCACCCCCACCTGATCCTAGAGCAGGGAGAATAGAGAGAAGGAGGGAACAACGCAGGCAGGCTCAACTACTGGGGAGGAGAGCATTCTGCCTCTCTCCACAAGGCACACCTGGAGACTGAGATTTAAGGAGATGCTGTGGGGACAGGCATTTGTCGAGAACAAATGCTGATTCCTTGGAGTTTTGTGTGTGTTGTTGCTGATCTCTTGTTCTGTGACTTCTGCTTGGAAACCCGGAAACTCTGACCATTGGACTGGCTGACAACGTTGCTTGGATGTTTAAAGATCTCGGATTGTATTTTGGCTTCCCTTCTGAAACTGCTCAGGCAAGTGTGTATTCACACAGGCTCCTTAGGTTTATGATGTATGTGTCATTCCTTCTTATCTCTGTGGCCTTGAGTAAATTCCTCTCCTAATCAGACTATATGTGAAACCACTTGCAGCCAGAGGTGTGTGTGTCTTCCTTTGTTTGGAGGTTTGCCAGAAATGTGGGAGCATTTGGGGAAAATTTGAAGCAATTAAAGGGTAGTTTGAATTGCCAGCTGACTGCATTGCCTCTGTGCTGTGCCCTGGGTCATCACACTAGCTCAGTATTCCATATTTACATATAGTAGCAGTCCAACTTCAGGTAGAATCTTTTCCTGATCATATTGGAGATTGGATGAGGTGAGCAGCGTGATGGCCTAGAGGTGGAGCTCTTGCCTGTCAGGAGGCTATGAGTTTGATCCTAGGTAGTGGGAGAGGCGTCACAAAGGGGATCCAGCCAGTGAACGCTCAGCTCCATTCAATTGTCCTGACTCCACCTTGATGCAAGGATTACAGGATTGTTAAAAGAAAAAAAAATGGAGATTGGACAAGGATTCTCTGGATGCAACATATACATTTTACTCTTATGTCTGAAAGCTTCTCCAAACCTATCACTCTGAACAACATCCTTTTCACTGCATTCTGTTTTAATGTACGTGTCATACAGAAAGATTTTTATATATGCAAAATAGAATTAAGAAATTTAGGGTGGCACATATCATTCTGCTCTCCCCAAAATAGTGTTGGATAAGCATGACTAAAAGTGATGGATTGGGTCCCTCTGCGAATATCTCAGCTAAGCAGATACAAAAATATCCAACAATTTATTCAGTACTCTTTTTTTTACTTTTATTAAACAATCAAAAAGTTGCTTAGGCAGGAAATTTAGTGGCTGATTTTAATTCAGTCTCTTTCTTCTGTCGCCCTGCCTCAGAACGCTTAGAGGACAGTTGTAAGGGTGACGTGAAGGATGACAACAACACATATTGCCTTTCATTGTAAATGTAAGAAATATTTTTCCCTTCTGTATTCTAGGTACATGTCATCAGGTAAGATTGGAGAGGAAATCCTGATCACTGCTGAGGTTCTGAAGCAAGGAAAAACTCTGGGTTTTGCCAATGTGAATTTAACAGATAAGGCAACAGGAAGATTGATAGCTCAAGGGAGGCACACCAAGCACCTGGGACACCAGTCATAAAAAAATAAAATAAAATCCCGAGAAATCCAAGAACATAGGATGGAGGAGTGTATCACAGCAAGTTTCAAAAATTGAGGTGCAGTCGTTGGGTAATGAAATAATATTGCAACATTGAATTCTGTTGTTTAAATTAAATTGTTGGCCCAAGGTCAGATGTGCTGGTGTATAAATGCATACACATGTCTGTACCTGTATTTATATTTATGTGTCTAGGGTGGATGAATAAGATCTGCATTTTGTTTGCTAATAGAACATACATGTTAAGTAAATGTTTCTCCTGCTAGGAAAAATAGTACAGTGGAGCTAATATAAGTGTGAACCTTGAAGCACTGAAGAAAAGATGCAGAGAAAACAGTTTTTCTCCTGAAACTTAAAAGTTTGCTTTTGAGTTTCAGTTGTGGGAGGGACAGATGATGACAGCTTCTAAGCCACTGTTTCTCAGCCTCAGCAATTTTTAAGCATGGTTGGCTGAGGAATTGTAAGAGTTCAAGTCCACATATCTGCAGGTTGCTGAGGTTGAGAAACACTGTTCTAAGCACTGGATTGAATCAAGAAGAGAAGCTGTTTCTCTCCCCCCAGATGTAATTCTTCCCCTGCAGCTCTGGGAAAGACAAAACACTCAGGGAAGTGGTTTTCCATCTTTGGGAAGAGCATAAAAGGTGATGCTAGTAGCTACAAGGAGGGTTTTCAAAAAGGTAACATGGGATTCAACTCACTGTATTTGCAGGGACTCCAGTTGCCTTTTGTATTGGTGCCTTTAAGCCACGGGATTCACCTGAATGTATTTCTTTTAATAGAGTGTTGAATGAGTGCCCACCTAATAAAACAAGGTGAAAGTCCGAAATCTTTTAAATGGCAGTATTCTTTCCAAAAGAATTTGTTTTGTTAAAAAGTACTGAGTGGGATGAGAAAGGCTGCTGCTGTTCAATAACATTTTGATGTAGACATTTTAATTTCAGTGTAAAATCATTTCTGCTATGCTTACCACAACACCAGCAAGAACATTTTATCCCTTACTTTGGCACACATGCTTACACCTTTTTATTCAAAGACTATCCCAGAATCAGCTACACTGAATGTAGATGAGTGCAGAAAAAGGCTAAGTGGTGGAAGGAGAAAGCAGAGGCTTGTGCATGAGTTACCTTGGGATAAGAGGGACGGTCAATAAATGTAATAATAATAATAATAATAGCTTGGCCCTTGTGATTTTGTGCCTGTGGGACTTCTGGATGCTGTTATTTTGTGATACTTGGCTAATTATATTTCAGACATTGAATTGCTCTTTCCGTTGCTCATGATCCCATAACTGTGATGATCTCTAGAAAGATTTCTAAAAGAAATTCCTTGCATTGCTCAGCTTCTGCCTAGTGATTTTACTTGGGTTCACTGCTTTATTGCAGCTGAGGGTGGCTATTCACTGCAGGTGGCAGAACTTAGCAAGCTTGGCTTAATTTGAAAAAAAGCTAAGAGGGTCAGTCCTCTTTAGTAATTGGACAGCAGAGCACTGGGAAATCTCAGGGCTGTGGGCTATATATTTATTTGTTAAATTTATTCACTGCCTATCTCGCCACAGGACTACCCTGGACAGCTTACAACAGTAAAATGGGAAAATAATTAAAAAATGTAAACATAACAATAGCAAAGCAATGAAACAATAAAAAGAAACAAGGAAAATACTATAAGAATTTAAAAAGATAGGTGGAGGGAAGCAAAAAGCATGGGGGGGTTGCGGGGGGGAAGTGCGATCAGCTAATTAGTCAGCACCTGTATCTTGTAGCCACCTCCAGTGTGGTCCTCTCTTATTGAGTCCTCTCTTTAGGTCAATGGTGGCAAACCTATGGCACGGGTGCCAGAGGCAGCACTCAGAGCCCTCTCTGTGGGCACGCGCGCCGTCGCCCCAGTCCTAGGCCTTCAGCTGGGTTTTATAAAACTTTTTTGCTATAGGCTTCCGCCGCCGTGTGCAAAAAAAAAAAGGTTCAATCAATGAGTCAATTTCAACTTCTCGCGGGAAAAAAAAAAGATCTTGCAAAGTTGGAATTGATTGATTGAACTTTTTAATCCCACCCAGTCTGCCGTTACCACAGCAGCCACACCCACCCAATGGGCCACACCCACCCGGCACCCAACAATGCATAAGTGGGTTTGGGGTTGCAGTTTGGGCACTCGGTCTCTAAAAGGTTCGCCATCACTGCTTTAGGTCATTTCAGCACCCAACTCTCTTACATTTTGACGTGTCCCAAGACTTTTTCATTGATTGTGAATTTGCTTGAAGATAAATATGCCTCTTGTGGTTTTCAGCAAATTGCAGTATTTGTCTTTTTAGACTGTTCCTCTCCAGCTTATTCAGAGATTAGATACCTGCATCAGTGAAATCTACCAGGATTGTATAGGTGGTGGACTAGACTGTGGAAATAGATTACCATAGTTTCCTGAATTAGGTCACTTATTCATATCTTGCTCATGTCCCAAATGGATTCTTCTAACGAGCTCTACATGGGGCTGCTCTCGTAGAACATCCAGAAGCTGTAGCTGGTCCAGAATGCAACAAAACAGGTGCACTTTGGAGAACCCATATTAATACCTCAGTTTCCCAAGTTCCTAGGGTGCTTTCAGAGGCAATTTGGGTTGCTGCTTATCACCTACAAAGGTACCCATGCTTTGGGACTGGATTGTTTGAAAGGTCACCCCTCCGATTCTGTCTATTTGTCCATGCAGGTTGTCTACTTGTCCATGCAGGTTGAAACAGGAGGCATTGATTGAAAAATGTCATCTTCTGGAACCAGAAAGTGGGCTTTTTTGGTTGCAGTGCCTGTCCTTTGGAACACCATACCTATTCCATCCGTTCCAAAATTAGATTGGTCCAAACCCTGCCAGCTTTTCGGAAGGATTTGAAGACATGGATGGAGATTGAATGTTCACTAGGAACCTACATGGTGGGGGTTGTGGTTTACTGTAGATTGATTTTTATGTCTTTCCAGGTTTAATAAGCTGTCACTTTGGTGTTCATTGCATTGCACTTTTAGATGTTGGCCCCCTAGTCACCATAATGAGATGGGTAGCTTATACAGATAGTCAAGTGATGATTGTAATGGAACCTACACATTATGGTTGTCAGTGGTAATGGTTGTAAATGGGTCAGTTGTGACCTATTTTAGCGGTGTTCATTAAGCAAATGCTGTGACTTTAAAACAAACGTTACGGTGATTAAGTGAATGCCATGGTCACTAAGCAAAGCCATTGTTCTCTATAGTGTGGTTTTGCAAAACCATCGTAAAACATGATCATTTGATTACGGAGAATCTCAAATGGCTGTAAATGCAATCATGTTGCCAATCACGTGGCCGCAGGAGAGGCAACTGCCATAACTTCAGAGCCAAGTTGCAAGTCCCCTTTTTGGGGGTTTGTTGTAACTTAGAATGGTTGGTAAGGACCAGTCATAAAGCAAGGATCACCTGTACAAATCAAGTAAATATTTACATTGAATTTTTCATGTATGTGTGTTAAGGTTTTAAAGATTAAAGATGTGTGTTATTTACGCAAGACATGTCATGTTTACAAAAATTGTAGATACCCTTATAAAGTTCCATGTATGTTTATAACAGAAAAAGCAATGTGAGAACTATTATAGAACACCGGCTATTTTATCTAATTTTTAATTTACATTTCTGCACCCTTAAAAAAAATCTTTAAATTTTAGGTATTCCACATAAATTTCTCTTCCTTCATAATGTAAAATAAAGCAAATGAATGAATGCAGTGTACCATAATACCAGCTAGAATTCTTAGATTCCAGAGATGGTTTTGAGACCGTTTTAGTTTCTAGACATGGTTACAACAAAGAATCCTTATTGCTACAAACCAAGGAAGTCACGAACTGTAATTTTATAGCAATTAGTCTTGGCTAAGGAGACTCTGATAGGACTGAATTTTAAGAATAAATTTAAGCAGTTGCTATGAGTAGGAACTGTAGAGAATTTCAATTTAATCAGTTATTGAGACAGGATCTTCATTTTTCTGTATACTCTAAACCTTACATATATTTTAATGCAGTGGTTCTCAACCTGTGGGTCGGGACCCCATTTGGGGTCGATCGACCATTTCACGGGGGTCGCCAAGCAAGGCTGTCCACCATTTTTTTTGTCCGCCATTTTTTTCCCCTTTTCCGGCGGGTGCCTTACCTCCCTTGGGCTGGGCCAGCTGGTGGTCGGCCTGCTCCGTCTCTGCCGCTTGCCAGCTACGCCTCGGCCGGCGCAGGGGGCGAAACCACGCGTGTGCGGCGCTCCCGGGCAGGGAAAGTCGTCGACTTACGACCGGTTGGGTAGTCCTCAACTTACGACCGGTTTAGTCCTCAACTTACGACCGGTTTAGTCCTCGACTTACGACCGGTTGGGGTCGCGGCATTAAAAAGGTTGAGAACCACTGTTTTAATGGGTTCAAAGATAATAGGTTTGTTTGTTTTTTAAGTGCATGTTACGGCTATTCCCATTCCTTTTAAACATTCAATGTTACTTCATGTCATGTATTAATTCTGTTACAGGTGTGGTCTCTGTAAATTAATAGTTAATTCTATTTCATCTGGCTGATTTTGAAGAAGATACAGATTTCTTTCCATCAACTTAGAAGCAGGGAGAATGTCATTTCTGTTAACCCCTTTTAGTAAAGTCCTGTAAAAAAATTATATGTACTTTATCATAATGAAGTAAATATAAAATGTTTTCCTTTTGCATAATCCTTTTAACAGATAAACTGTTATTTTAATTAGCAAGTAACCTTGAGTTGAATAGAAAAAAAGCTTATTAAAAATGTTTTATTCCTAAGAAATGCCGGTTTCCTGGTTTAGCATCCTCTTCACACACATTTATACATATGCATATATAGCATACTCTCCTCCAAATGTATAATAATTACCACTAGGTAATTAGGTTGAATTAATAACGAAGTGACTGTCCAAGTCAGCCAGTGAGATTCACTGAATCTGTATCCAATACCAATTCAACATTCTAGAATTACTTTACATTATCAGTTGATATTGTCATGGATTGTGTTGCTTTATCAATTGAATGTCTGCATACTTTATAACTATCATGAATTTCATAACTTAACAGAGCAGATAAATGTTCAACTAATTTGTTTATTTTCATTTGTTCCAATTCCAAACAAAAGCTAAATACAAATTTTAAACAGATAAGCACTAGATTTACCCAAAGGGAGTTGGCTTATACAGATTTACTTCAGTAAAATTACTCAACCCATAAGCAAAGTGTTCTTTGCCAAAACTATACAGTAGTCTTTCTTATGTTCATTGCACAATCTTAAACAAAATATGTTCTGTCAAAACCAACTTTGACACTCCAAACAATATTTTACAATTAAATCCACAAATGCTTTAGATCTTATTCCTCCCCCCGCCCCCACCCCAAAGAACTTCAGAGGGTTTTCCATGTCAGAAATGTTTTGGAAACCAGTATTTCCTACTCAGTTCACCAGCCATTTTACAAGTCAACTCTCAGGAAAAAAAGCAATCCTCTGCCAACAAGGTTTCTGCAGCTGCTATTTTTAATTTAGCTGCTTTAAGCTACTTCAGACCCCAGGTCTGTAAAATGTATTCAACTTAACAGAACACTCTACATTTAGTTATACAGCAAACTGGGGAAAGAGATCCAAAAATGAGAATGCTAGTAAACTCAAACATGGCCAAGCAAAATAAGAGGCAATTCATGCCTACAATGAATGAGATGCTTTTCTTCCTTAAAAGATTTCTTTCCCATAGTAAGCCATCTACTGTAGCAAGCCAGAGAACTAGTCATCAGAATGAATCTGACACTGCTCTGATACAATCATGTTAAAAGCAACGCTTAGAAGGCTTTTACACCCTTACATTCACTTTTCACCCTATGAATACTGAAACAGGGGACATGACCAGCACAAATGGACACACCACCATAAATGATCGCTTTGTGCTCTCAGATAACATTTCTTTCAGTGTGTAACAGTCCCTTCATTTCACATTTTGGTAAGATGCTCGTACAATGCAGAAATATGCAGAGCATTCTCTTTCATAAAGTCCATGCGGAAAACATCTTTAAAAAAAAGTTCTGAGAGACAAATGAGAACAGAAAATAATCCAGGATGATCGAGTTTCACGATGGATAAGTGTTCTGAGCATGTGTCCATTTTCTTCTATTCCGAAAAGAATAAATGGCGAGAAAAGTGGGAACTACACTCCTGCAATCTGTGATTTTTCCCCCATTTTGCTGGCCAGAACCCTATTCTGGCATGTATGGGCGGAGGTGATCCTCTACAGTACCAACCGCCCAGTGGGTGAGTTGCTCCTGTGGCAGATACAGGCAGATGCTGCATAACTTGAAGATTGTAGCTTTGTTTTTTGGAGTCTGTAAAAAATAGATAATTTCAGAACCAAGGATAGGGGTTTCTTTGTGCATGGAAATTTAAATTTCTCCCAGTTTGTCTTTTCAGAAATAATTTAGGAACTTGAAAGGAAGCATAGGGGAAAAACAAACAAACCTCTAAAAATCTGTCACGTTATAATATTTTTGCTGGATGTGTAACTTTATCTGAGTTCTATACTTTACTTTTTCTCTCAGAGAAAGTGCTTTTCCCAAGGCTAGATTAAGTTACACTTTAAAAGTTCAGCAGAAACTCAGTGCTACCATAAACGACACTGTTCATGCACACGAGCAAATCTATATTTGCTCGTGTGCATCAAATCTATATTTTTCAATTCTACAATTTAAAAGGATGCTACCTATTGAATGTTCGTTACACTGCCAAAACACAAAAAAAATTGGCCAATCTGTTATATCTCACAATATTATGCTTAATGCCTGTTGTACACACGCTATCTATCTAGCTTCCATATTTTGCATGACAACTGGTTTTATATAAGCAAACAGAGATGCTAAATAATAAATGAAGCAACTATTATATACTGGAAGACGTTTACCTGCAAGTGCTGTCTGTCAATGAAAAGAAACACTGACTGGTTAGGGTTGTTGATAACAATTCCAGTCTTGTCCTTTCGGCTCAGTACATGCAGAAACTGTTTTTCATAGTCACCGTGATGAAATTCAAACCTGGCCTATTCAAAATATTCAACAACAAAAAATATTTTAATTCAAAATTAAGCAGTCTTGTAGATATTTTTTGAATGATTACATGATTCCTGGTAACTGTGGGTGGCCTACAAAAAAACTCACTTAAAAACAAACAGTGCAAGACGAAAGAATTACAAAGACACTAAATCCAGAGGGGAACAAAAAAGAAGGAATATGAGTTGCCTTCTAAGAGCTACCAACTTCATTGTGGACAAATTAAATTATTTTTGAATCAAACAATATTAAGTCCTGGAGTCTAAAGAAAAGTATTCCATTCTTTTACCTCCCCCATTCCAATTTACATATATTATTCTATATAAGTTTAACAAATTTAGCAATTGGGAAAACTTTTTCTATTGTTAAACCATTATATTAGAATTACATAATATGGTATTATTATATATTTCCAAAAGTGTAAAATCACAGCTACCAGGTCTTTAGCTGGTACTGGCCTTCATATGCATCAGGTTATTCCCAAGATGCTAGGATGTTATAATGTATTGGGCATACCATATGTGCAAGTCCAAGCACTGTAGCCTTTTGCAATCCAGATGGAAATTTTATCAATGTGCATATTTTCTAAGTGCGATTCAAATTTTTTTGATATGGCACCCAGTGTGTTAATAACTACTGGGATCCTCACAACCATTTTGTGCATTATTATTTGTTATACAGTGTTAAAGTAAAATAAGCTTATTGAACTAGCTTCAAACAGGAGATTGATTCAAAAAACAATTCAACAATTCAAAATTCAAAAATTTTAAAAATGGTAGAATGCCTTATGAATTAAACCTTCAATATATCACAACTACCAAGGTCATCCAGATCCATTTGTATGCATACTCACAATTATACATCTTGTGCTGCAATCAACATTAAGTCAGGTAGGCAACTGCTGTTTTCTACAAACTCCATAATAGCCAATTATTGTCCATGCTGATTTGAGCACATGGTATTCAAAGTAACACTAAAGCACCAGATTGCTAACTGCAGCTTCAGGAATCCAAAAGTCAAATTTGATCAGCATTAAAAGGCAGTGGTTTTCATTTGAAATACCATCTGCTCAAGTTTTATCTGCATATGCCATACCTGAATAGGCCTAAAGGGCTCATCATCTGATCCCTTCCATCTAGAAAACAGAAGACAGACTATCTTCTCAATATCATTCCGAGGCCAAAGTATGAAGTCCATCTCCTGTGTACAGCCAATCACATCCTGAAGAGATAAAAATCATTTAATAGTACCCAACATTGTAGCATACGAATATGTATTAATCAGTAACTTCACTAAAATTGTACGTTATCATTTATACTCATACAGTATTAAGATTTTTTAATTATGCTCCTAAATAGTGCACTTTTTCCAAATTTAAGAAATCTCAAATTCAAACCTCTTTCAAATTTAAAATATAGCCCAGATTATGTTGTAGTAGGTTAACAATTTAGGCTTGTACTTTTAAAATTTTTCTTCAAAACGTGTTTTAGTGGGGTTGTTTTCGTAGTTTGAATTAATAGTGCATATTAAGTCAAAATTTAGTATCATAAGAGAACAAGTTTTAAAAATCGTAAACGACGAATTTGTTTTGGGTCATATGTATTAAATATCTTAATTTCAGTACTTTTTTTTCGTGTTGGGACCAATCTATTTGGCTTAGATCTTGAATAAGTAGTAACCTGCTTCGGAGAGCATCCTGCAAGTAACATTATTTATCTATTTCCTGCTAATAAAGATGATTTCTATAGATTCTTGTCCTCTGTAAATTTGTTTCTTGAAGTTTTTGACTGAAAAATTCTCCGAAGGAGCACAAAAAAGCTGAAGAAAAAGGACACAATATAGGTAGCCCTCGATTTATGACTGACCATCCAATGACCATTTGAAATTCCAAAGGGTCTACCTGGAAGTACTTATGACCTGGATTCAAAGTTCCGACAGTCACTCACTCACACACACACAGAGAAAGAGTCATGTGATCACGCTTTAGGCACTTGGCAAGAGTTGCAAATGTATTTGTTTGCACTATCCTACAGTCATGTGACCACATTTTACAACAGTTTTGCTGAAAATCAGCATTTACTTCCAGTTTTCGGCAAAACTGGACCCACAGCAAACCATAGGCATTTGCTTTACGACCATGATGTTCACTTAACAACTGCTGCAAAAATTGTCATAAAATCAGGTTGGTCACATGACCAATCCATTTTATGACCATCACAAGTTACAATCATGATGGCGTGCAAGGTATTACCAATATTGAACTCCTGTGGGACACTCTTATTAGAGGGAATGAAGGGAATCCTCCTAGGTCCCCGTTGTGTTTTTTGACTACCACGGTTTTACCTTTATACAGGTGTCACTGTAATAGTAGGTTGACGTTAATGTATGACTACGACGTGTTTATCCATTTACTGTTATAAATGTATCATGATAACTCATATCATGGAAGGGTCCTTCATTTGATCATAATCTATTTACAGATAAGAACTCAGAATATTGTTCAAGATAATTTTGAAGACATTAAAGACAAAGCAGTTGATTAAGATATATTTTTGAATTATTAATAATTAATGTTTTAATAAGTTGGTTTTACCTTATTAAGACCAGATCTGATAAGGAAATAAAGAAGGTAAGACTTGGAAAATTAAAACTAGGGACGAACTATACATCTACTCTATTATAAAATATTCTTCATGAGCACAATCTCAAAGAGCTGCATGTCTTTTTACATACCCAAAGATTTTAAAAGAAATAAAATTAAATTAAAAAAAATAAATAAAAGAAATTCCACTAGGTAACATAATAAATTCCACATCAGTAAAGACATACTGAATATTATTAAAGGTGTATTAGAAAAGAAGTAAACTACTTGTAGAAATATTTCTCTTAGTAAATCCATCACCTTCTGCTTTTAAAATGTTACTTGACTTGTGAATCTTTGATTTAAAAACACAGCTGGATCAAGGACTGTAAGAAAAACATTTGATTATTGAAAATAGAAGAAAAATATTTTTTTACCCTGCGCATAGACTGATAGCGGGGTGCATGTAACTGTACAATATCCTTCTGAAGAAGCTCAATGGAACTTTCCAAGGAATAGCTGGAATCTCGCACACCTTTCAGAATATTTTCTTCATAATTATTGGTCATAACTGGTATCACTTCAGACACTTCAAAGAGTGCTGACTTTTTTCTCTAAAGAAAAGAAAATTAAGCAACATCTGTTATTAAGAAATAAATGTTGAAGTTCAAATTCAGAACTTAGGAAATTTAATTATCAGGAAGTTCAAACCTTAGTTTTAAAAGGATGTATGTGAAGCCAAAATTCATCCCTTTTAATTTAATAAAAGGTATTAATGTTAAAATCAGGGTCTTTAAATAGGTGGATTTTGGCTGAAAGACAATTTGCTGTTCTTTTTTTGAAATTCAGTTTTGGGTACCTATATTCCTCTCATGTATAACACATACAAACCCCATACAATATAAAATCTTAAGTATGATCCTTCCATACTTGAACATCTGTAATTTCTACCAAAAAAGCAAACACAATGGAACTTACAATAGTGCCACTAAGTTATGGTACTTAGTGGTTATGTGTATTAAGAAATGTATTCAATAAACAAATAAATCAGCCTATTTTTATACAAAGAAAATCTTATGCCTTTTTAATATATATTATCCATGTTTTGATTCTAAAAGACTTTCAATTAAATACGTATCTTATATGTCAAAATAACATAAATAAGATTACCTTGTCTTTGAATACAAAGGCAATATACATCTTGAAATCAAACTGGTCAGCTAGAGATTCTTTTTTCTTTTTAAGCTGAGCACGAAGTCTGTTCAGAGCTTGTTTCTTCCGGGAGTTTGGGTCCCCCATTTTATAATACAGATGGTACAAAAGCCTTTTGAAACTGTCACTAAACTGTGGGCCCTTTTTTCATGAGACTCAAGTGCAACAGAAACAAGTCATTTTATTCCTGCTTATACCACTGAATCAATAAAACAGAGGCAAACCCCAAAAGTGCACCTCAGACAATTGTTTTACAAGACTGTCTTACTAGAAGGGTCATAAAACAAAGTAAGTAGTTGTCCAACCATTACTGGACAAAGGGTCTGCACGTATTACCAAAAGCCAAAAAGATTTTTTTTTTTGAAGAAAATACACTGATATACACAGTTTAAACCACAGGAATAAAGGGGCAAGAATAGGAGAAAAACCTTATCACAATTTATATGCATAAAAAAAAGGAATAAAGGAGATGGACCCAATCCATTTGGGTGTTGTTTCTTTGCCCCAACCCCTCCCCCCAAAAAAAACCAAACAAAAAAACTGCAATTAAAGACAGTATTTTATCATACCCAGGTTCATGACTCTGCTGATTATTACCAAAGATTTCTGCTATTGCTAAACTGTCTGCTTAATTTTCAATGATGATTAGACTTGGGAGAAAGCAAAGGAAGGGCCGCAGAAGAGGAGTGGATGTCCTGGGAGGCAAGACATTTCCCTACTAACAAAATCATCAACCACAGACAACACAGTGCTGGTTTGCAGAAGAGCCAGAAGTTTGGAAAACAGCAGAGTCATTTCTAACTTCACCAGGCTCATAATCAGGCACACGGTCACCCCGAGGCTGTGCCTGTTGGAGAAAAGAGGGATCATGATGGCCATTAATCAGAGCTTAAAAGGGAAGGTAAAAAAAAAAGGTAGTAGCTGGCCTAAAGATCTCCAGCCTATCTAGCACTCCCCTAGCTGGGAAAGAGACCTACATACTCCAATAGCTGTCTAACCCCATCAACTATCCTTTCTCTGCCCCAAGGGCCACCGTTCAGTTGGGGCTGGGCATGGCTGGTGCGATTAAGCCTCCTTAGAGTAGCTTTCCTCTTCCTTCAAAATCAACCCGAAGAGGAAGAGACGGGCCCGTGCTCAGCGCAGGGGGAGGGAGGGGGACCCCAGCCTACAGCCCAGGACCCACTCTTTTTGCCTTTAGTCAGCTCCAATTTCCTTCTTTGAAAAGGAAAGTTATGGAGGAGGGAGGCCGGAAGTTGTCAATTGCAAAAGGAAAAAAATAAAATAAAAGGGGGGGGGGAGAATAGATAAGCAAAAAAAAATAGCCGTTTGCAAAAGTGGCCTTTTGGGGCGAGGATCGCTGAATCGAAATCAAATCGTTAAAAGGGGGAGGGGGGGATTACCCCGCCGGTCCCTTTCGTAGTTTGTTCAGATAGGATTTCAGCTTTTGTTTTTTAAAAAATAAAATAAAAATAAAATAAAACAAAACACCCTCCTCCCTCCCTTTCAACTTCCCCTCATAAAAATGATGTCTCTCTTGCTTTTCACCTCGGCGGGAGGCGCAGGAGGCGAGAGAGAGAGCGCGGAGCGGAGAGGCTGGGCCTGGGGCCTGTCGGGCTCGCTATCCGCAGCCGGCGGGCGCGGGCGGAGCAGTGGAGGCTGTGGTGGCGGCGGCGGCGCTGCTAGCAGCACGGGTAGGAGCCATGTCAAGATAAAGCCACCAAGAAGCCGCCGAGCTCCCCCATCCCCTCTGCGCTGTTCACGACGACCGGGCCGCCCGCACTGCCGCTGCTCAGCCCCAGCAGCCTGGTCCCCATAGCCTAAGCTCGGCGCCCCGGAGCCGCCGGGGGAGGGCAAATGGTGGCGGCGGCGGCGGCGAAGGGAGGAGGAGGACGACGCGGACGAGAGGGAGGAGGAAGTGGCGGCGGCGGCGGCGAAGGCGAGCTGGGCCGGGCAGACCCTGCGCTAGAGGCTCCGATTGCGGAAAGGGCAGGAGGCAAGAGAGCGAGCGAAGCCCCCCCTCCTGTCCCCTTCTCAGGCGAAGGATAGCGCGCAGCGGTTCCTCGGTCCGGAGGAAGGCGGGAGGCGACGAGGAAGCGGCAGTCGGAGCGAAAAACCCTCCTCAAAATGGCAGCCGCCGCCTTCCCTTCTCGCCTGAGTCACACGGATAGGCTCCGCCTTTCAGCCGCGGCGCAGGCGCTCTGCGGTGGACCGTACCACTTCAGCCCACGGGGAGGAGAGAAGGAAGAGAAAGAGGGCTCGGCGAGAGTTTGGAAAGCTTCAGGGGGGGTTGGATTCGCAGGACAGACGAGCGGCTACACCGGAGGGCTGCACCCATGTATGCAGAATACAGCAGACTGCGCGTTCTACGCAATTGCAGGCGTTTCAGGCTGCGGTCTCAACCCCGCCGACAAGCACGCCCCAATTAACACAGCGAGGTTTCTGGCTCGGAGTTGCGCACAGGCGGTGGCTGCTTGGCGTTACCCAGAGACCGAGTTCACATCACAGGTTAATTGTGGTTCGAGCGTACAAAGCCCGTCTGTTAGTTAGTTAATAGTTCAGCATTCGTATAAATCCAGTGGTCTAGATTCCCAGAGGTCTAGATTCAAGTAAACGATGGTTAAATTTACTCAACCAATTAATCTCCAGATTATATGAACACATGACACGCAATTTTACCAGCATGGAGGATTTTATCTTTTAAGTACAGAGTTGAGAATATTGGCTTATCTGTACATTTCTCTAGTTGACGGCTTACAGTTGCAGTTTTTCATTTGCTGTTTGCTGTAAATTAGTTTGTTGTTGCAAGATTTTGGGTGCCTACACTGGGGTGGTTTTTTTTACATGTAGCAAAGTCCTGTAAAACTTTCCCCTCATATCTGTAGACCAGCATCCTGTCCCAGCTAAAAACCCAGATATTTTAAAATGAAGAGGGAGGTAATGTTATCTATGTTAGTTATATGGATGTCCTGTTTAACCTGGACTTATGTAGCATCTGGACTTGAGGTCACTTTTAGATAAGTTTTCTCTTCTGTCCTAATGTACATAAAATAGGGGGAAAATCTCCTTCCAGTGTAACTCTGTTCCAGTTCCTGGCAGCATATGGAAGTAATTTGCTATTGCCTTCTTCCATTGTATAATAATAATAATAATAATAATAATAATAATAATAATAATAATAATAATAATAATAATAATAATAATAATAATAATAATAATATGAAGATGATGATGATGATGATGATGATGATGATGATGATGATGATGATGATGATGATGATGATGGAAGGGACCTTGGAGATGTCCTGAGCACACTCTGTAAACACAAAGTTGTTCTGGACCTGCCAAAACAGCCATTCAGTGGAAGTTTAAATTAATGACGAAAAAAAAAGTTGTGCAACTGAGAAAAATCAACTTAGATGTCTTTACTGAAAAGTTAGTTCTCTTAATTGTCTATGGAGATTTTCAATCATCCAAGTCATGATTGTGCCAAAGGTGCTTTTTGCAAAAGGCAACTGGACTTTTTTGGTTTGTTCTTTGAAAAAGTTTTGCTTCTCATCCAAGAAACTTCTTCAGTCCTAAATGACAGGTGAGGAATAGAAGGATTTGAGTGCTAATGAACAGAGGACTGCAAAGAATATAAATCCTTCCAGTTTCAATAAAAGCAGTTTTAGGGTTCCCATAGAGTTGATTTGTTGGTCTGGTCTACCTAGTGAGACTGACATCAATCTTGCACAGATGACCTCTATCTCTTTGCTGCCATCCAGTGGTTATCTGAATGTTTGCATGGGGTGGTTATAACACAGATTTTCACACGTTGCTGATCATGCTCATTGGCTATATTTCCTCAACATACTATGCTAAAAGATGGTAGAATAGTTTATGACTGAATATTTTGTGCAAGCCAAGGTTAATAAAATTAATTCAGCAAGCACTGCTTTAGCACTCTTAAGAACAGAGCTTTAATATTAAGGTTAGACTGCCATCTAGTGGAAGCTGCCAATGACTTCCATTCAAGTTCAGTGATGAAATATTTTCCATTTACTAGTTTATATTTATAAACATTCAAATTGTGTAACAATTAAAATACAATTATTTGAACTCTAATTTTAAATAGATAGTCTTTGAACCAAGTTTGGTTAAATTATGCATGCTTCTCTAGAATTCTTTCATTCCTTTCTAGGTAATATTGGATTTCTGCAACAAGTTATTCATGCTTCTTTTTCAAACAATAGCATGCATAAACTACCTAATCATATTCTGGGGGAGAAATCAGATGAAGCCCTTCACCTGAAACATACTTGTAATTGTAATTGTGGATATGGCTAGTCTAGAGAAAAGAAGGACTAGGGATGACATGGTAACTGTCTTCCAGTATTTGAGAAGCTGCCACAAAGAAGAAGGGGTCAACTTATTTTCCAAAGCACCAGAAGGCAAGACAAGAAACAATGAATGGAGACTACTCAAGGAGAGAAGCAACCTGGAATTAAGGAGAAACTTCCTAACAGTGAGAACAATTAACCAGTGGAACTGCTTGTCTTCAGAAATTATAAGTGCTTCTTCACTGGAGGCTTTTAAGAAGAGACTGGACAGCCACTTGTCTGGAATAGTATAGGGTTTCCTGCTTGAGCAGGGGTTGGATTAGAAGACTGCCAAGAATCCCTTCCAGTTCTATTCTGAATTCAGGTTAGGATACAACAATTTTTTTTCTGTTCAGCAGTAGCCAGAGAGAAGGTCAAAATCAGAAGACTCCCCACTTACAGACAATTCCCTCAACCCTCTGAATTTATCTACCATACATGTCTAAGAAAACTTCTCCCTCAAAGAGGCTTTCTGAAGGAGAGATGGGCATCTGAAAGGAAGGAGAGGGGATGGAAATCTTTTATTAAACCATCTTCCTTCTTAGAAATTCATGGTTCAATCCATTAAATGGATACAGTCAAAAATGCTTTACTTGGAAACAGGTTCCTCTGCAAGGAACAGGGAATTACTTTGAAGATAATACTTTCGGAGAGACTATCAAGAGGTTCAAAGTAAAACATGCAACTGGTTTGCTTGTACTGGTTTGCTTCCCGCAGCTCTTGGGTCAATGGTTGCAATCTTTTCTTTTTACTTAATAGTAACTTTAATAAAGTTTATAATTATAGCAATAAAAACTAATGCAAGTTGAACAAGATTGAAGAACAAAAAGTGCAGAAAAGAACAAAGAAAAAAAGAATATTGAAATATGTAAAGAGATGACTTCCCATCTTCGTCACAAGTATAAAATTTTTTAGTAACTTATCACCTCCTTACGTCTAACAATGTTAACCTTTACCATTCAAATAATGTCTTATAACTTGATTTCTTTTTATTTTTTTATTATTCCTTCTCATAACAATCTTCAAGCTTTATCAAGCCTTTTTTGTAAATCCAATGTAGGGAAATTATCCAGGTTATTATCTTAGCTTGTTGTTTCTATAGCTCTTTTAATTATTCATTTGGCTTTTTTGCATGTCTAGTGTAACATCTCTTTCCATGTCATTCTTGTAGCCTGTCAGTTGTAAATCTACTTTCAACTCAGTCTCAGTTTTGTCAGGTAGAACTTGTTCTCTTCCGTAACATGTCTTGGACACCATTTCTCCATAGAGGCAGATGTCTCTGTTGACACTATTAAAATATTAAAAATAACTTCTGAATCAATTGTTCAAAAATATTCTTCAGTATATACTTTTTTCCCTGCCTCTCCCTTCCTACAGGAGTCATGGGTCCCAACATTCTGTAAGCTAACCCATTTGAGTTATCTTGGTTCAATAACTGTTGCTCTATACCTTCCAGTTTTGCCCAATTGAAGATTACAAACAAAATTCAGTTTTGGTAGTATATGGCTATTAATCTCATTTTTGGAGGCCTGATGTGTTTCTTAGTGACCTTGAATCCCCACATGATTGATCACAGTCTGCCTTGGGACAATTCATTGTGTATAGATGATACGATTTCCAATGCATTTCCCAAAACAAATACATAGAGATGCACCTTTCACACAGAGATATTTTATTACACAGTAGTCCATGACTTACAAGACCAAAATTTCGGTTGCTAAGTGAAAAATTTAAGTGAACTTTGCCTCATTTTATGACCTTTCAAGCTACAGTTGTTAAGTGAATCACTGCA